TTAAATGATAAGCGATCTTTGCATGTTCTTGACATGGTTCATTGTGATTTATGGGGACCCGCTCCCGTTACTTCAGTTGATGGATATCGTTACTATGCTTTATTTGTTGATGATTACTCGAGATTTTCTTGGTTCTATCCTCTAAAAACAAAGTCTAGTTTTTTCGAGGTATTAGAAAACTTTTTAAAGTTTTCTCAAACACAATTCTCTTGCAAGCTAAAGGTCTTTCAAAGTGACGGGGGCACCGAATTTCTAAACAATCGAGTTCGGAAATTGTTTCTTGATAATGGTACTCATCATCAAATGTCGTGTCCMTACACTCCGCAACAAAATGGACGTGTMGAACGCAAGCATCGGCATCTAACCGAAACCGGTCTTGCCATGTTATTTGGTGCCAATGCACCTGCAATTTTTTGGGTGCATGCTTTCTCTTCAGCGATTCATATTATTAATCGTCTCCCTACAAAATTGTTGCTACARAAATCTCCATTTCAGGTCCTCTTCAATTCGGTACCAAACTACAACAATTTTAAGGTTTTTGGATGCCGAGTGTTTCCTTACTTAAGGCCCTATTCGGAGCACAAACTCGCACCACGCAGCATCGAATGTATTTTTGTTGGTTATTCCACACAATATAAAGGCTACAAATGCTTGGACCCCAACACCTATCGGGTCTTCATAACTCGACATGCAAGATTCGATGAGACCTCTTTTCCGTTTGCAAGGAAAACGACTCCCACTGATCTTGCCACTTTATTCTTATGCTCCTATTCGGATGAAGYACTTCATCTTCCACGTGACCAACCAGAACCTACATCTACAAACCTCAAACCATCCATCTCATCTCAACCTCACATGCCTTGCTCCTCTTGTTTGCATGATMCTCCCTCACCATCGACACCTCCTGAAATTGAGCCTACTCCATCCATAACCACTCAGCCAACTTCCCCACACTCCACTTCGCCATCCCACCAACCAACCCCTTCCCCGTCGCAACTTGATAACCAACTTTCCACAGCTTCTGTTCCTTTATCAACTCACGTTCATCCGATGACCACTAGGAGTAAAGCGGGCATTGTCAAACCTCGTCATATTTTCGATCTCCTTGCTATTTCTCCTACCGACTTGCATGTTGCTTTGTTTGCTGCCAAGGAACCCAAGGGATTTAAATCGGCTTCCAAACACCAACATTGGTCTCATGCCATGAATGAAGAAATTCAGGCACTTCATCAAAATAATACGTGGACTCTTGTTCCACRTCCGCCGAATGCAAATGTGGTAGGGTCCAAATGGGTATTTCGCACGAAATATCATGCTGATGGAACTATTGACCGACATAAAGCACGACTTGTGGCACAAGGCTTTACACAGATTCCGGGTTTCGATTTCTCTCATACCTTCAGCCC